TGCCTCTACTGATTAATCAGAGGACATGGCACCACCAAGTGTCTCAAAGTGGTTTGTTTTTATACCAGTAATTGCTATTCCATGGAGGATGAATAAAGTGGACTTGTATTTTTTTCCCCAACTGATAATGATGGGTAAATACATACAAGGTACTTCAAGGTAGACAAAGGCACTCAATATATTCAATCATTTTCTCGTTTATAAAGATCATACTTTCCAATGGGGAGAAAAACTTATTCACTGGCTTTATTAGAAGACTAATTCTTTCAAAATGTGAAAGAATGTCACCTTTCATACTTTTTTCTCTCTGCACATTGGCTGTTAAGTACCTCACTGAGATGCTGTGCCAAAGAAACGTAGTAAAGTTTTGGAATTTCTGGAGCCGTGATCAGTTTTTTGTTGTTGTTGTTTTTGTAAAGTGGCACTTGTGTTTTTATTTCAGACTCTGTCATACAACAGACACAATCTGACGGCTGACACAAGTGAGAGACAAGCCAAGGAGATTCTCATCCGCCGAAGGCACAGTTTGCGAGAGAGCATTCGGAAAGACAGCAGCTTGAGTCGGGAGCGCAGGGTAAGGGCGTCGGGGCTCTGGAAGCTCTGCTGAGGGTTGATTCGCAGGAATTCTGGGAGAGAGGGCATTTAAAAGTCTTTCAGAGGTTTCGTGAACACCTATTGTGTTCTGCACACAGTTCTAGGCACTGGGGATACATTGGTAAACAAAACGGAAAGATTCCTATGCTTGTAGAATTCATATTCTCATCAGGGGGAATGTGGTCACCAACAGACAGAATAAGCAAATCCTATATAATAAAAAGCTAATATGCAAATAGACCAAACGGCAGAACAATCGAACAACCGGTCGCTAACCACCAGGGGGTGCACTTGGAACATGGCAGGCACGAAATTCGTGCACAGGTGGGGAGGTCCCCTCAGCCGAGCCTGCACCCTCTCCAATCCGGGGGATGTCTGACTCCCTCTCACAATCCTGGACCGCTGGCTCCTAACCACTAACCTGCCTGCCTGCCTGATCGCCCCTAACTGCCTCCCCCCCCCCGCCAGCCTGATCACCCCTAACCACCTCTGCCTCCCGGCCTGATTGCCCCTAACTGCACCTCTGGCCAGCCTGGTCGCCCCACACAGCCTGCTGTTCAGTCATTTGGTCGTCCCTCAATGAACCCCCTGCCAGCCTGGTCGCCCCATGCAGCCTGCTGTTAGGTCGTCTGGTCATTTCGGTTGTCACGGCCCCTCAATTTTATATATATGGATATATATATATATATATTATTGATTTCTGAATAGAAGGGAGGGAGGGAGAAATCAATGATGAGAGAGAATCATTGATCAGCTGCCTCCTGCACACCCCACACTGGGGATCGAGCCCGCAACGCAGGCATGTGCCCTGACCAGGAATCAAACTGTGACCTCCTGGTTCATAGGTCAACACTCAACCACTGAGCCAAGCCAGCCAGGTCTTATTTTTTATAATATTCTGTATTTGGTTATCGGAGATAAAAATTTTATGTTTGAACAAAATTATCTTTATCTTTGTGTTCAATATGGCAGCATTGATTAAAAATTAAGGAAATTAAAGACAATGGCAATGAAAATGTCAGCAAATTAGCTATAGTAATGCTTTTTGTTCTATCATTTTCAAGACATTCAAGTAAATAAAATTAAAATATGCTACAATTTTTAATCTATCTTTTTCTGCATACCTATCAGTTCTAAGGCTTTTTCACTAATATTGTCATAAATAGGTGGTTCGGTCTCTTTTCCTTGAGAAAACACAGTGGTTTTCACATCTTGTTCCAAATGGTCCCACTTTATTTCCCTTTTTTTTCTTTTTTTCTCTCCTGGCTTCTTCTATATTTTAGAAGAGTTTTAGTGATTTTAAATTAAATAATTATTGCTAGGGATTTTCTTCCCCATCCCTAAAGCCCCTCACAAAGTAATTTTGGCATGGAGAACTAACATGTTACATTTTAATAAAGTTTGTCATAAGAGTTTAAACTTCTAGTGATGCCATCTGCATAGTCTAAGGTTTTCTGTATCTTGTGCAGGCTTCCACATCAGCCTCGCGGTACCTGTCCTTACCCAAAAATACAAAGCTTCCAGAAAAGCTACAAAAGAAAAGGAATGTTTCTAATGCAGGTAATGAATACAGGTGGAGCAGAGAGGAAGATGCTTCTGTTCTGCTTTGTTACGCACAATGAGTTCAATAGTTTGCAAATCTAAAGTAACAATACGGTGGCCTTTATTAGCATTGCAGCCTTTTGGAATGGAGTTCTGTGCACATTCCAGAATTCAATCAGTTATTTTTCATAATGATTCTATTTGATGTAGCAAATGCAAATATTATTACCATGTGGTTAGTGAACAGGGGTCCTCCACTACTGGGGTCCTCCCCCAGAAAAGCTATAAATGTGCAAAGGTGTGTTTAATTTTTACAGTAATTGTAATATATTTTCATAAAGCAGCCATATATTTTACTTCTGTAATTACTTAAACTTTGACATAAAGTCAGATATCTCTTTATTTTATGATATCTTTATGTAGATTCCGAGCCATTTTCTGTGAAACCCCAGAAGAAAAATGTTAGGATGTCATGTTCTTAAAATGTAGATGTAACAACAATATCCCACCTTTTTTTCCTTGTTTATTTATTTAACCAAGAAGAGGAAAGTCTAAGGATGGCCTGTGTGTGGAGGCTGAGGTGGGAAATGAGAGGGAAGGCAGAGGAGGGAACACTGGGCGTGCAGGACAGTGGCCACGTGACCACCGACATCCAGCAAAAATGCTGTTTCCAAGACTCTCAGCTCCCAGCATCCCAACACCTCCTCCCTGCAGGAGTCCAGGACCCCAGCAGTGGAGTGCCCCAGTAGTCCAGGACCCCAGTTTTTATGCAGCTGGTTCTAATCTCAACTCCTCCCTCTGTTCGGAAGGTGAACACTGGTTTTGACCCTTTTGTAAAAATATGAAGAGAATAAACAAGGCTATATATGAGATCAGATCAAGGCAAGATCTTGCAATAGCAGCTAACTCTTGGTGTCTTCCTGTGGTGAGCGGAGCCCCCTGGGGCAGGTCCTGGGGCAGGTCCTGGGGCAGGTCCTGGGGCAGGTCCTGGGACAGGTCCTAGGGCAGGTCCTGGGGCAGGTCCTAGGGCAGGTCCTGGGGCAGGTCCTGGGGGCAGGTCCTGGGGCAGGTGGCACACAGCCCAGGCTGCTCTCGGTGCCAACGGGCTCCACCACACTGACCCCTGAGCCTCAGTCCCTTCATCTGAGATGGGTGACGTGAGGGGAGGTTCATAGGTGGATGTAGTTAGAGCTGAGGTCAGTGCCGGCACATGTCAGAGCTCCACGCCATCTGCGGAATGCCCGGGGGTAGCCCGAGGGCTGGGGGCCAGGCAGGTGCCCAGCTTTCAGTGGGATTTGGGGGGGAGCCTGCCTCGCACCAGACCCCTTAGCACTGCCATCGGGGACCCTCCTCTGAAGCGCATTCCCTGCTGACCTTCTGCTCCGTGCAGGTGGCAACAGCAGTGACTCGGATGCAGATGCCGGGACCACTGTCCTCAACCTGAAGCCCCGCGCGAGGCGCTTCTTGCCGGAGCAGTTCTCACAGAAAGCGGCCCAGGCCTGCAGGATGGAGTGGAAGAACGAGGTGGACGTCGATGCGGCCCGGCAGC